GCCAAGCCCTTGCTATTGCTTAATAATACTACTCTACTTTTATTGATTCTTTATCTGATTACCCATAGGAACTATTAAAAAACCTTTCTTCCTTTCCCCAAACTCCCAAATTTTACCTCTTTCATACTTATGATGATTTACCTTCTTTAGTGAACATACTGAGGCCATAAAATTGAGCTCTCTAAGTTTCCTTCTTCCTTTCTGCCAAACTTTTCTCCCATATTACTCACTTTCTCTTTCTCCATCAATCAAAAGGCATTTAATAAACACCTACTGTGTGTCAAGTACTGTACTGGGGCTTGAGGATGCAACAGTCCTTAACCTCAATGATACTGGGGAAGACAACATATGTGAATAAAAATGTGTTCATCCACTTTCTCAGTTAATAACTTCATACTTGGCCCAGAAAATAGAGTCTACTAAGGGAATTGATCTTTATGGAGTCAGGTGTGCACAACTCCTCATTTTAGTTACCAGGAAAAAGAAAAGACAAAGGGGCGGGGGGGTCTCCATCTGAAGCATCTAAATGATTTAATTAGCTCTGCAAAACTAAGCCTTCTGAGAGCTTCCTGAAGCAATGGAACTCTGCTGAAGAGCTAAAGACTTTCTTATTGCCAGTTGGGATTCCCAAGTTTGTAACATCCATCCCAAGCCTTAGACATCCTACCTCCTCTGCTAGCCTAGTGAGCCATGATAGATGAAGACCCAGCTCTTTAAGAATGATGATTTACCAGCTTGATTTACCAACAACTTTACCCATTATGAGAAGGGCATCTGCACCTGGATGTTAGTGGTCATTTATCCAGTAACATGATATACATTGTGAGTTGTTTTTTTTTTGTTTGTTTGTTTTGTTTTGTTTTGTTTTTTGAGTGGGGAGGGAGCCCTGGCAAGTCCTCTCAGTGGCATGAGCAATATGGCTGGCATGGGAGACAGCCTTAAGAGGCTGGGTTGATTGCATCTTTATTTATATTTACTCCATTTATTTTTATTACATGGCTGTGGCTCTGGCCATGGCTAAATGGTCTAGTATCTGGAGACAATAGGACTGGAAAATCCAAGGTTCTCCCTTTTGTGTGAGGATCAATGAAGGAACTTTGCTGATGCCAATTTCCACATAAAGTTGTTTGTAAAGCATGTCAATGCCCATTGAAGACATTATATACCCTCTGCCGACCTGAAAAACCAGGCTGATGGCCTAACAAAAGTAGAATTTGGGAAATGGGCTTATTACTAATCTGGACATAGGACCTGTGATGCTGTGTTGAAGTGAACACAGAAACACGCGATCTCCTTAACTAAGGAAGAGGAAGCTACTTTGTTCCAATGTTGTTCTTTGTTGCAAGAACAGTCTAGAAACCACATATTTCCTTGCATATTGATTATACTGGTTCTCTCCTGTCATCTCAAGGCAAGAGAGTTGCCCTTATTACAATAGGCACATATTCAGGATGTGGTATTACTCTATCAGTTGAATTCGCCACCATGGCAGGCACCTTCATAGCTTGCAAGGAACGTATTTTCCCTTTTGGGACTCTCTACATCACTGTCTCTGGTAAAAGTACCCATTTCACAATGAAGGAGGTTCAAGATTGGGCCTTCCATTATCATGTACTCTGGGTTTTCAAGTTCCTATGCTAAACACTCAGACCACTTTCTTCCCACTGGAAATTTGCTCCAAGAGGCAAGCTTTTTGTCATACTTTGTTGGGGCCTAGGCCTCTATGACACTTCTCAGGCAGTTCCATGCCCTTACTACCCTACTTAGACCTTCATCTCCACGACTTCCATGTCCTTTGAAACCTAGATTCTACCCCTGAATCACCTAGCTCTGATAGCCAAGATTTTGTCTTATCTTGTTGGACTTACATTTCCACACTATCTCCTTGACTAGCTCATGCCATGCATGATACCCCTACCAGATGCCTTTATATATTGTCTTCCTCCATTAAAATGTGAACTTGAAGGCAGGAATGATCTTGCTTATATTTGCTCCCCAGATCTTAGTACAGCTTGGCACACATTGAATGCTCGGTAAATCTCAATCTCTCCCTCCCTCACTCTCTCTCTCTCCCCCTGCCCCCAATCATCTGTCCATAGACAACTGGGATTGTTGAACATTGGAATGGCTCTTGAATCACGTCCCTGGCTTATGTTATTGTGTGTATGTGTATAGATATGTATGAACACAAACATTTATCTATAGAGATATGTATATGTACAAATACATATATACATATACATAATACATAAATAATTATCCTTCTATATAGAATATAAGATTCTTGAGGGTAAGATCTCTTTCATTTTTGATTTTCTGTACCCAGAATCTAGCATTGTACCTGACCATATGTTTATATGACCTCCAACGAGGGGGTTGGGAGCAATAATAATTGTTAGGATCATTTGGGCCACTTTGTTGAGATCTGATGGATTGGGATGAAGAAGGCAGGGAGACCCAATCAGTTGGGCTAGTTAGAGATTCCCTATATCAATAAAATTTTAGGTCTTGTACCCTTTAAAATTGATAAACTGTAGAACTACCAGAAAAGAGCAACCAGGAAAGTGAAGGACCTTGAGATCATTTCATGTAAAGATTGATTAAACTGAAGTTACTTGGCCTGGAGAAGAAAAGGCCTTGTTAAGGTGGGGCATGAAAGCTGACTTTAAATATCTGAACAACCATCAAATAGAAGAGTAGTTATACTTGTTTAAATTGTTCCTAGGTGGCATAAACTAAAATTATTGGATGGGAAGTTGCAAAAAAGAATATCTAGGCTTGAAGAAAGAGAAATCTCCCTAAAAATGAAAAATGAATTGGCTGCCTCAGGAAGTTTTGGGTTCTCCCTCATAACAGACTTTCCAGTAAAGGCTGGATGACTACTAGTTGGCTGTGTTGTAGAGAGAAAGTTTGTTTACATGCTATTTGCACCAGATGTCCTCTGAAACCTCTCCTAATTCTGAGCATCTATAGTGTTGTGATCCTTCTGGCTGCAAGGTTTTTGGGACCTGCACATCATTCTCTGTGCTGTACTGGTGGTGACTGTCTTGCCTTTATCCTTGTTAGGATTCTAACCCTACTCTACTTTGTCTATAGGCTGAGAATCCAGTCATCTGTCAACTGTGGATATCTGACTTAAGTTCCTTACAAGACAAAAAGAGTAGTCTAACGTTGGTTTCTAATTCACCTATTAAGTCCTTAAGAATGAACAAGGAAAATGGAATGAATAATATTTGAAACTCTTTTTATTCCATTGCTAATAGAAAATAAATAGGTTTATAATGATACCCCACATATACAGACATCTGGAAACCCTCTCTTTCTGAAAAATAGGAACTTCATTTAAAAAAAGGGAAATGAATAAATGAATGAGCAAGTGAATGACAACACATTTATTAAGTGTTTACTATGTATTGAGCACTGTGCTAAGAACTTGGGATACTAATATAAAAGCAAAGACAGTCATTACGCTCAAAGAGTTTTAATTCTTATAAGGAAAAAAAAACACTTTGGGAAAGTCATGGAAAAGGAGGGGCACTTAGCTTTGGAAAGTTATAAGGATGGTAAGTAGGGGAAAAGTAGAAAAAAATGGCTTCTGCACAGCTAAAAGAGATTCCATAGCATCTTAAAATTCATTCATTTTATTTGCAAGGAGAGGCTTTCTCACAGAACCTATTTATTTTTATTTTCCTCACAAGTTTTTTTGGTGTAAACCTAGGCATTGAATTACTTATTATTCCTAAATTCTAAGCCATCAAATTAGGTCATCTTTTGTCTTAATTTTTACCTAGCCCTTATTTATTGAAAGGGCATTGCTGCAGACAAACTGAGGCCTGGGATAGACCTTAATTTCGAAAGGCCAAGGTCACCTACTTCATCCCAGGCCATCACCAGTTGTCTTGACTTATGTCTTGCTCACTGGAATTTGATGACTCTGGAAGAGAGTGTGAAGCTGATGCCCTTGTGTAGCTCTGCCTCACTTAAATCCAATTCATGTGCAAATGAAGACGTTACCCTTGGGATGTCATTAGTCTTCTTTGTGAACAAGGATCAAACAACAAGTACAGCAGCAGATTTGAAACATCAGTCTAGAAGGCTCAGGCATACTGAGAGCAATAGAGGGAAAAGACAATCTGCCATTAAGAGAGGTGACAGAAAAATTATTTTTAAGAATTAGGCTTGATGATTTGAGCCATGCAGAAGTATGATATGTCTCAAGGGGTAGTGAGTTTCTTCTCATTAAGAGTCTTTGAACAAAGTCTGAATGATCATTTTTTGGCACATTATACAGAATATTTTTATTCTTTCTTAGATATGTGTTGACCTAGATGTCCATAGAATTCTCTTCTAACTCTGCTCACCTGAAAGTCAAAGAATTATGGAGTCTAGTTAAAAATGGTATTCCTTACTCAACATCTTCTAATCTTTACCACTTTTGTTTAGAGAGTCCTTTCAGAAAAAAAGAAAGTCCCTATCTTTGGCTCTATCTTTATAATCAACTAATGTTTTTCTCTTGATACAAGAGACTGACATACTATTCTTATTTATGAATCAGAAAATTTTGGTCTGAGTAAACATTAATGTTATACAATTTCCTGACTCTTCCTTTGATATAAAATGCAATTTCCCTGTGGACGAAAGTTATTCCTGGTGCTCTTGTCAAATGCAAAATTGATAGTGAGTTCTCTTTCACTGGAGGTCTACATACAGCACAGACAGTCCCCTGTTGGAGATATTGTACACATTGTATTATGTTTTAGATGGGAGATGGACTAACTGGCTCTAAGATCACTTTCAGCCTCTAGATTGTGTGACTATGAGTCCATCAAGACCCTCCACTTGTCTTCGGAAAAGACACATTTATCTACGCCACAAAGTTCATCTCCCCTTCTTATGAATTAATAAACATCGTAGTTCCTCAGTTGTCTTCAAATATTTTTTGCCATCTTGTCACTATGTCCAGGTTTTGTGAAAATGATTTTTTTCTCTCATCATTGCAGGTGCTTGTTCTTTCTCGGATAGTACCATTGAGTAGCAGTAAGATGCCTGCCATAAACATTCAGAATACTCCAAGGATCGACCCACACTTTTTGTCTAGTAACATATACTCAAAACCTGAAAGGACTCTGCTGAGTTGGATGAATACAAATTATGAGAGTACCAGATGCAAGATATGGAAAAACTGTGATAAAGGTGAGCTTATTATGTGACTGTGTATATAGGTATATACACATACACCTAAACATGAATATGTATATATGCATGTGTATACACATAAACATGAATTTGTGTATATACACATACATGCATTTAATTAATAACATGCATAAAGATTCTTGTCTATTTTATATATTGCTAAACATCATGATTCTCTAGCTTCTCTTCAAATATTGTCTTGTCATCTTATCCCATACATACATACATACATACATACACACTTATTTAATCAATTACTTATTTGATGTAGCAGAGAAAATCAACCGAATGGGAACTAAGAAGACTTCTGGCTCTAATCGTTTCTATTCTGGGAGCCTGATGGCATTGGTTTTAGTTATGACTCTTTAATAAACTAGTTGCAGTTTCTGCTTCTGGGAGCCAAGATGGTGGAGTAAAAAGGTAGTCGCTCTCACCATCCCCTATCAGCCTCTGAAAATTCAGAAAATATCACCACAGAAAAAAAACCCTGGAACAGCTGAACCAGAAGAAAGACGGGGAGCAGCAATGCAGTAGCCCAGGTAGCTAGAGGGATTAACGGGAAAGGCCCCTCTTACCCTAGGGGAAGGGGAGCAGTACGAAACAGGAGTCGCCCAGCCAGATAGTGGAAAGACCCACTTTAGCACACCAGGAGGAGATTCTGGGGCCTCAGCATTCTACAGCAAATGGGTCTCCCAGTGCCTCAGCAGAAATAAGGGAAGCAGCACTACAAAGGGCCCCAGGCAGATAAGCACCTGGCAGCATTCGTCTGAAAGGAGCTGAAGAAAGCAACCTAGAGGTGCCAAAAAGTTCCAGCCTTGTTGATTCCAGCTCAACACCAGGTAAGCTGTCAGAACCCTACAGCCTCCAACTGCCAACCAGGAGGAGATCCTGAAGCCCAGGTGGTCGAGCAGGCAAACGCCAACAGCTGTACCTCCGAGTGCCTCAGTGAGGGTGGGGTAACTGGTGGAAACCAGCTCAGAAAACCACCAGGTGCCTTGGCATTCTAAAGTAAAGAAGTCTTCCAGTACCTCAACGGAAATAAGGGAAGCAGCACTGCAAGGGGCCCCAGGCAGATAAACACCTGGCAGCACTTATCTAAAAGGAGCTAAACAAAGCTAAAGGAAAGGAAAAGCAGGCAACCTAGATTTACATGAAAATCCTAGCTTTGCTGATTCCAGCCCAACACCAGATAAGCTGCCAGAACCCTACAGCCTCCAATTGCCAACATAAGAGGCCCCAGCTCCCAAAGCCAGTGACTAAAACCTAGGCTACCAACACAAGAAGCTTGGGTCAGTGCCCTCTGCTCCCCAGCCGGAGAGTTTAATCTCTGTAAAGTCCAGGGAATAAAGAAACACCATGAGTAAAAAGAAACTTACGGTAGATTCTTATTATGAGAAGAGTGAAGATCAAGACAGAAATTCTGAAGAGGACAACACTGTCATCAAACCCACAACTGCAATAACAAAAGGGAAAATGAACTGGTTTGAAACCCAAAAAGCCTTCTTAGAAGAACTCAAGAAGGATTTTAAAAGTCAAATGAGAGAGGTAGAGGAGTCCTTTAAAAGTACAATTGGCCAATTGGAAAAAAAGCACACTGAAGAAAACAAGTCCCTAAAACACACAATTGGCCAATTGGAAAAAAAGTACAATAAAGAAAATAAATTCCTTAAAAATACAATTGACCAATTGGAAAAGAAAGTACAAAATCTAACAGAAAAAAAAACAATATGTTAAAAAATAGAATTGAACAAATGGAAACTAATGACTCTATGAGAGAGCAAGAATCAGTCAAACAGAAAAAAAAATGAAAAAAATAGATGAAAACGTAAAATACCCCATGGGTAAAACAGCTGACCCGGAAAATCGATCCAGGAGAGACAATTTAAAAATTATAGGCCTACCTGAAAGTCATGATGAAAAAAAGAGCCTGGACAATATCCTTCAGGAAATCATAAAGGAAAACTGCCCTGAAGTCCTAGAACCAGAAGGCAAAATAACTATAAAAAGAATCCATCGCTCCCTGCCTGAAAGAGATCCCAAATTGAAAATGCCAAGGAATATAATAGCTAAATTCCAAAATTACCAGATTAAAGAGAAATTACTGCAAGCAGCCAGAAAGAAACAATTTAAATATCATGGAACCACAGTCAGGATTACACAGGACCTTGCAGCCTCTACATTAAAAGACCATAGGGCATGGAACATGATATTCCGTAAGGCAAAGGAACTTGGAATGCAGCCAAGGATTAACTACCCAGTGAAAATGAGTGTGATTTTTCAGGGAAGGAGATGGATATTTAACGAAATAGGGGACTTCCAAACATTCCTGATAAAAAGACCAGAGCTCAACAAAAAATTTGATCTTCAAGTACAAGATTCAAGAGAGACATAAAAAGGTAAATGGGACAGAAAGATACAAAATGTTGTTAATAAGGGCAAAATGTTTACATCCCTACCAGGGAAGATGACACTTGCAACTCTTGAGAACTGTATTGTTATTATACCATGTTAAAGGAGTATACATAAAGGGGGTGGATATAAGTTCACTTTGATGTAATGATAAAAAAAAATTTGATCAAGTGGGTTAAATGGATCCAAGTAAGTGTATTAGTCTGACCTAAGAAAATGTACTGAGAAAGAAGGAGGCAGACAAGGGTAAATTACATTACAAGAAAAGACACAAAAACCTATTAGAGCAGAGGTAAAGGAGGGAGGGGATGAGCATTGTTTGAACCTTACTCTCATCAGATTTGGCTCAAGAAGAGAATAACATAATCAGTTAAGTATAGAAATCTAACTTGCACTATAGGTAGTAGGAGGCAAAAGGGAAAAGAAAAGGGAGGGGGAATAGAAGGGAGGGAAGAAGCAATAAGGGTAAAGGGAAAGAAAAGGGAAAAGGATAATAGAAGGGATGTGAGACCGTAGGAGGTGGTGGTCAAAAACAAAACACTAGTGGGGGGGGGGAAGGAAAAGGGAAAAAGAAAAGCATAAATGGGGGGGAAAGGATGGAGAAAAAGTCACAGATAGTAATCATAACTATAAATGTGAATGGGATGAACTCTCCCATAAAACAGAAGCCTATAGCAGATTGGATTAAAAACCATAATCCTACAATATGTTGTTTACAGGAAACACATTTGAAAAAGAGTGACACATATAGGGTAAAGGTAAAAGGCTGGAGCAAAATATATTATGCTTCAGCTGAAGTAAAAAAATCAGGGGTAGCAATCCTGATCTCAGACAAAGCAAAAGCAAAAATAGATCTTATCAAAAGAGGTAAGGAAGGAAACTACATCCTGCTAAAAGGCACCATAGACAATAAAGTAATATAATTACTAAAAATATATGCACCAAATGGTATAGCATCAAGATTCTTAGAGGAGAAGTTCAGGGAGTTACAGGAAGAAATAGACAGCAAAACTATACTGGTGGGGGACCTCAACCTCCCCCTCTCTGAACTAGATAAATCTAACCATAAAATAAACAAGAAAGAAGTTAAGGAGGTGAATAGAACATTAGGCAAGTTAGGTATGATAGACGTCTGGAGAAAACTGAATGGGGATAGAAAGGAATATACTTTTTTCTCGGCAGTACATGGCACATACACAAAAATTGACCATGTACTAGGGCATAAAAACCTCACAATCCATTGCAGAAAGGCAGAAATAGTAAATGCATCCTTTTCAGATCATGATGCAATAAAAATTATATGTAATAAAGGGCCATGGAAAGATAGACTAAAAAATAATTGGAAACTAAATAATCTAATCCTAAAAAATGATTGGGTCAAACAACAAATCATAGAAACAATCAATAATTTCATTCAAGAGAATGACAGTAATGAGACAACATACCAAAACTTATGGGATGCAGCAAAAGCAGTTCTTAGGGGAAGTTTTATCTCTCTAAATGCTTACATAAATAAAATAGAAAAAGAGGAGATCAATGAATTGGGCATACAACTGAAAAGAACTAGAAAAAGAACAAATTCAAAATCCTCAATTAAATATCAAATTAGAAATATTGAAAACTAAAGGAAAAATTAATAAAATTGAAATTAAGAAAACTATTGAACTAATAAATAAAACTAAGAGCTGGTTTTATGAAAAAACCAATAAAATAGATAAACTTTTGGTTAATCTAATTAAAAAAAAAGAAAGAAGAAAACCAAATTACTAGTATCAAGAATGAAAAGGGTGAAACTACCACCAAGGAAGAGGAAATTAAAACAAAATTAGGAATTATTTTGCCCAACTATATGCCAACAAATTTGACAATCTCAGTGAAATGGATATATATTTACAAAAATATAAATTGCCCAGATTAACAGAAGAGGAAGTAAAATACTTAAATAACCCCATCTCCGAAAAAGAAATTGAACAAGCCATTGATGAACTCCCTAGGAAAAAATCTCCAGGGCCAGATGGATTTACATGCAAATTCTATCAAACATTTAAGGAACAATTAATTCCAATACTATATAAACTATTTGGTAAAATAGGTAAAGAAGGAATCTCACCAAATTCTTTTTATGATACAAATATGGTGCTGATACCTAAACCAGGAGGAGTCAAAACAGAGAAAGAAAATTAAAGACCAATTTCTCTAATGAATATAGATGCAAAAATTTTAAACAAAATATTAGCAAATAGATTACAGCAACTTATCACATGAATAATACACTATGACCAGGTAGGATTTATACCAGGAATGCAGGGCTGGTTCAATATAAGGAAAACTATCAGCATAATTCATCATATCAACACCAAAACTAACAGAAACCACATGATCATCTCAATAGATGCAGAAAAAACTTTTGACAAAATACAACACCCATTCCTATTAAAAACACTAGAGAGCATAGGTATAAATGGAGTCTTCCTTAAAATAATAAATAGCATCCATCTAAAATGTTCAACAAGCATAATAAGTAATGGGGACAAGCTAGAAACATTTCCAATAAGATTGGGGGTGAAACAAGGATGTCCATTATCACC